TTTGCCTGTGCTAGATTAAAGTTTCAAAAATGACTCTGAATGTAACGTCCGTAACTGTGGAAATGCCCACGACCAATGGACAGAATGAGTGTTGATGAAAGACAGATATTTGCATAGTCAGTCAGTGAGTCCGTGAGTCAGTGAATCAGTCAGCAGTCAGTCAGTCGGTCAGTCAGTCTGTCAGTCCGTCAGTCCGTCAGTCCGTCAGTCCGTCAGTCCGTCAGTCCGTCAGTCCGTCAGTCCGTCAGTCCGTCAGTCCGTCAGTCCGTCAGTCCGTCAGTCAGTCAATCAGTCAGTCAGTCAGTCGGGCAGGCAGGTAGGCAGGCAGGCAGGCAGTCAGTCCATCAGGAAGCGAGTCAGTCACTCTTTCCGTCAGTCCATCAGTCAGTCAGGAGGTCAGGAGGTCAGGAAGACAGTTAGTCAGGAAGACAGTCAGTCAGTCAGTCAGTCAGTCAATCAATCAATCAATCTACAGTCTATCTATCTATCTACATATCTGTCAATAAATCAATCAATCAATCAATCAATCAATCAATCAGGCAATCACTGCATCTGTCTACCAGGATACACTCCTTTCTGTACCATCTCTGCTCTTTGCAGTCGCTTGTGCAGTCACAAATTTAAGTCAACATTTTTCTCTCCTTGTTTCATAACAGGAAGAAGCTGAAAAAAAGTCAGTGTACTCCACTGTTTATGAATGCTTACACCATGAGAGGTAATCATAAATGCACAACTATGTATGCACTTATTATTATCTCCATCTTTCCATTCAGAAGTGTCTTTTATAAATACAGTCGAACCTCCACTAACGGCCACCCCCCTACAACGGCCACCTCTCTACGGCGGCCACTTTTTTTCATCCCAGCAGATGGTCCACACATTCCCTCTTTTCTTTACCTCTCTACCATGGCCACCTCTCCACAACGGGCTTAAGTGCATCCAAACTTAAAATAACCTCTCCACAATGGCTAGTTAATCAACGACTGGTGAATGAAGTATACAAAACCCCATTTTATGTTGTAAACCGTCACGAAACTTGATCTGTACCGTACATCGTTGGTCTCTGTTTCTGTTTGGTTTCTGTTTTATTGATATATTTTGATTGTGTTAGGTATTTCAATGCTACAATGAGCATTTTTTAAATAAACAAATGTGGTGCCCTCCGAAAAAACAGGTGTCATATTACACCCCTACCTCCCCATAACCGCCAGCTCTCTACAACGGCCACTTTCATCTGTCCCCAAGGGACCATTGTAGAGAGGTCTGACTGTATTTCAATTATATGCCTTATAATGGGTGCTTAACAGAATAAGTTCTTTCTCCTTTCCATCAGCATCTGCTCTTACTTCGTAATTAGTTCGTTTCGATTTCTTTTTCTTTTTCTTTCAGGGGCTGGAGCTGTGATTCACACTCACTCCAAGCACTGTGTTATGGTCACCCTGTTGTATCCTGGGAAGGAATTCCGCATCACTCACCAAGAGATGATCAAGGGCATGAAGAAAGGAACAACAGGCGTCAATTACCGGTGGGTTGAAGAAAATGAGCCCCCCCGCCCCCTTCCCTCCCTCCCTGCCTCCCATTTCTTAAGGGTGGGTGCAAAAGGCAGTAGTTTGAAAGGCAGCACAACATGGCCACTTTGACATGATTTTGTTTAGAAATACATAAAGGAAGTAATGGAGGTTTGGCCTGAAGCTTCGTGTCATCAATTGTAAGCTGACATCAATAATCATTTTGTTTTTCCATTAGATATGACGAGGAACTTGTGATTCCCATTATTGAGAACACGCCTGAGGAAAGGGACTTAAAGGTGCACTAAACTCTTTAGATCAAAGGTTGTTTAAAGACAAATACTTTGTAAACAGAACATAAGCAGGGGAGCTGAATGTAGATGATGTGATTACCAGCATAGCAGTTAAAAGCTGGGCCATTTGTTTTCTAGTCATTTTAAACAGTTCGGATCCTCTCGACTTTAAGGGTTCTCTACTGAAGCGATTAGGATTAGTCTTGGTTTTGCGCCTCTTTGGTCGAAAAGAATTGTGACATCTGCTCTGTAATCTTTTAGAGCACATTGCCCAAGTTGTTTGGAACCAGTTACTGTGACGATCAAATTTCATGGTTATGTGTTCAATTTGATCCCTCGTGAACTAAACTGAAAATGAACTTGACTGAGAACACAGATGAATCCGTCCACAAAGTGCTCAGTTCTGTACTCGTACATCAACAGTTTGGTAAGTGGCAAAAATCTTGCCTTTGTTTCTTTCTTTTTCCTATCAAGGAAAGTATGGCTTTAGCCATGGAACAGTATCCAGACTCCTGTGCAGTCCTTGTTCGTAGGCACGGCGTGTATGTCTGGGGACAAACATGGCAGAAAGCTAAAGCTATGTGAGTACACTACAATAACTACGTTCATTTCCCTTTATTAAGTCAATAAAATTTAAAATGTTTAATCCCCTGCACAACTGTTAGTGATAGGTTGTCACGCAACGCCTCTTCCTACAAATGAAGGGGAGTGTTGTGTTACGTTCCAGGTAACGAATACGGAGAGAAACCGTACGTGTACAAAACGGAGCAGTTGTGCTAATTAATTGTTCTTGCTCGATTCTTTGGCCATTTGAAGCGGTTAGTAAGCGTCAAAAGTCAAACATTTCACAGAGAGAACAACAAGCAAATGTATTATGATATTTTTGCCCTGGAACACATCTGCCTTTGATCACTTCAGGCCGCTTTTGCGTTCCCTGATACAAAAGGAAGACTGTACGCTCAGACTAGCTATTTTAACTATAACAGAATGTGGTGGAAAGCAACGGACACTTTGATAAAGAACTTGAAAAGCCTTTTACACGTTCGCTTTCTAAACTTGAAACATTAACTCTCCCTGTCGATTGCCTTATATTCTTTTGATAATAGTTTTGAGAAACTCAGCTGGAGGTATATCAACAGAATCTTCCCTAATTGTTTTCGTTTTTCATTGCCTGTATTCTTGAATACGTTTACACTGCAACAGGGAGTTAAATGCTGATTACGCGAGGTAATTAAGCTTTTTAATTATTGGCGTTTCCAGGTGCGAGTGTGTAGATTACTTATGTGATATTGCCGTACGAATGAAGCAGCACGGTTTGGATCCGACGGCGAAACCCGACAAAATCGTCGAAAACGGAACCTGACGGGAACACCCGAACATTCTCTAGCCGCTCCTTTGGAACTATGGGTAACAAGAGAGAGAGGTGCAAACGCTTGGGGGAAACCTGCGGTCATGAGAGACAAGGGCTTGTGGGAAACATTCTGTAGCGGAGGGAAGGTTGCTGGGAAAGATTCAAGAAAAATAGCAAGGACTTTATTCTGGGTCAATAAAAAGCGAACGGACAAACTTCGGTAGCGAGGCAATTTGTGACTAACTATTTATACGTAATCGTATCTTTTTGGTAGGCTTCGGTAGCATATCAGGCGAGTAGGTCGAGCCATGGTTTGTATTGCCGGCGGGGTGTATTCGTGCTACAATAGACAAAAAAAGGGAAGACCAACGAACTTGATATGTCGCCTATGTGAACCAGAGAATTATTTTTTGGAAAAGAAAAGTGTAAAGATTGTGGTATAAAATTTGTCTTGTTTACCCTTTCTATTTTCCTATTGCTTTTGTTAAAATTGAAATTTTAAAAATATGATTGAAATGAAACAGTGGATTCATTCAGCGGTTATTCTAATTAAATATGACTTATAGTAAAAGCGAGAGGAAAAGTGTCGAGGAAACAAAACGAGGGTTAACCATTGTGATCAATTTGAAAACTTTCCTAGGCTGATAACGGACATCAACGTGCCAGTGCTAGTTGATATTTGCACAAAATCTCCCAACTAGCCCTAAGACATGTATGGAATATCAGTGTTGAGAGTTTGCATCTTCAAATGCAACAATGCACGTCAGTTTCTCATTTATCAGAATATCCCTGGTACTACTGAGAACTAGCGTCCTCTATTTTTTCTGTCCTTATTGATGGTTTTATGTTTTCTTATCACCTGCCTTCGTAACAGTTTCTGTTTTTGTAAGGAGAAGTAAGAAGCTGATCAAAAAAGTCAATGTCTTTAAAACCTGCATTGAGAAATATTAATGGCAGCTGGAAATTTTAAATTGAGGACACAATACGCCTGCTTGACTTCAGTTTTAAATTGAATTTTGTAGCAAAAAACTCATTTCGTTTCTCATCTTTCCTTTGTTTAACATTAGTCTATTATTTCAAGAGCTTAACCCTTGTTTCCTTTAGTCGAACACTTTCACTAAAACGTGCGTGGCATTATTTCGTTTCTGTATTTATATTTCTCGATAACGCGAAGTTGACATTTAAGGTTTTAATTCCTTCCTTCTTTGCTCTTTTCCTTTCAGTTTCTTCATTATTACACCCTCGTTAGATCAACACTGAAAGTTAATTACAATCTTAGTCGTTATGGGATTTCCAAGGAAATTATCGAATCGGGAAAATTTCAGTTTCAAAGAACAGATATGGATCTGTTTCAAAAGTGACAGACGCTTTGTTGTGGCGAAGTTATTAACGCATTGAGAGCGAAATTAGGATATTCGGTTAAGTGTCTTTGCTAGAAGAGAAAATAATTACATTTTCTGTTGAATGCGTTGAGCCGCCACATCGTTTTATAGCGAACGTGAAGGTTTGTGACAATTTGTGGAAGTTTTCAATTGAACACTTTGTGTTTTATGCAAATGTTCGTCAGAAAGTCGTAATTGAAAGTAAAATTGCCGTGGGCGATAAAAGGAAACTTCAGAAACTTAGACGTTATCAAATTTTGCTCAGTCTAAGAAGAGCAGCTGGACATGGTAATTACTCCCTTGAATTGTATTGAAAGTGGAAAGTGTTTGAAGTCGCGAGAGCAGAGCCCATGAAGCGAAAAAACTGAGGTGATGAAAAATGCGCCGCGTGCTGTAACATGCTACATTTTAAAGCTTACTTCCGATGAAGAGTGTTAAAAATCTTCAGTTTGCTCCAGAACTTCTGAAAGACAAAAACGATACATCATGGGAATACTCAACAATGGAATCAAGTCCCTTCTCGAGTTCGAATCAGAATCAAGATGCTGAAGTGAAATACCATTCTTTTTTAACAGTATTGGAAGAACGAATGAAACGGGAAGAATCGATTCTGTCAACGAGCCCCCATAAACAAGTAGTTAATGCCATTCGTTATGCCAAAGCAGTTAACTCTTCACTAGACTCGAATCTGGAAAAAACCAAAGATCTGCTTTATCGAGAATTTGAGCAGGAAATTCGCCGCATCCTCGATGTTCAGCAAGCGGCTTGCAGAGAATTCCCCGCGCTTCAGAAAGATGCCCGCTCTTTGCTTACAGGCGTTACAAACAGACAGTTTCGCCGACGGCTGAGTGAAGCTTTGGCAAGTCGACGGAGAACTGAAGAGTTTCGAAGAACTCGTACCCGTCTTTCGTTACCAACTTTATCACCAGTTGAACCTTCCAGTCGCCTAGACAACGTGTATGTGCCGTTATCTCGCTCGAAAAAGGACAGTGAGATTATTTATCTGCCTCCGATATGAAGAAAGGAAAAACGATGTTTTATTAAAGACACCTATTTCGATGTAAGAAGGCAATGTGAAGATTGTTCTCGCCGCCAGCAGGTAGACCAATTATGTCGGTATATTTTCAGGTTATTAAATAAAAACAAACACTTTCCCATTTGCATCAGTTTATTAACGCATCTGCTTCAATTCTAGAACAGAAATATTCGTTTTGCAAGTGGGTTTTGTTTGCGAGGATCGATCTAAATCGTTTTATTTTTGACTACTGTCTGGATCTGAAAATCTACGTGAAGTTAAATTCATTCCAATTTGGAATTAACTTCACTTCATTCAAATAGACCACTTAAATTCGATTTGTTGTAATCAAGCTTTATCACTTTCATTTTAAGATTCTCAATAAAAGGGGGATATGATCCCTTTCTTTTATCCTAAGCAGTTATAGAGGATTACCTCTTTGTCAACTACCGAAATCGCATACAAGCGCTTTTAGATTTGTCGAGGTCCCGACAGTGAACAAACATGATCTTAAACGTCATCGTGAAAATAAAATGCAGAATTTTATCTAATGTCAACATGTCAATGGAGTTTACGGAAGAAAGTCACGTTTTAGCCAAAATCAAAGATGTGAAGCTTTTTACGGGGTGAAACTATCGATTTTATCCTCTGAAAAGCTTGACACCTTTGATTTTGGCAAAAAGTCATTTTCGGCGGAAAATGCAGATTACATAGAAACGTTCAAAATGCCGCTGTTGATCCTGATTGGATAATAACGACGAAACTATCGGTCTCATTCTTGTTATCCAATCAATCAACGTTTCTATGGACTGAGCGTTTTCCGCCATTTTCGAAGCTGTGTAAACTTGGCGCAAGACACCGCATGTATAGGAAAAGTCCAGTGCGAAAAGGTTTAAAATTCTGACTCGCGTAGTAATCTTACTCTGTTTATTTTTTTATACCGGCTGAGAAAAAGACTAAGGAATCAAATGTGAGGGATATGCATTGATTCCTGGCATTCAAGTGCCTCAGTTCACCTGAAGATCTTAAATTTGATCAGGAACATCTTTGAAGTATTTTAATATTTCAGAACTCAAAATTTATCAGGTCTCGTGCTTACAGTACAGTGTATTTCGCGCTGTATTTCGAACTCATGAAAAATGGTGGAAACAGTGGTAATTGGGCAATAGGCCAGTTTGCTGATGCAAATATTTCCTAGTTCCATTCCCTTGTGGGGACAAGAAGTGATCACTCGGCCAAAAATGGCCTCATTAATTCATTAAATAGATCAAATTTTGCCTCTACAGGGGACTGGAAAATCAGCAAAATGGTGTATTAAGATATGTACTTTAAAAATAAACATAAGTGAAATTGTCTTTGCCAGTTGCAATCAGAAGTATCTCCGCGCAAACTGTCACAAGAAAAATTTTTTAAGCTTTGTTAATAGCGGTCTTAGCTTCTTGGTGTGATTTCAGTCCGTTCTCGCAATATACCATGCAACACTAACGACAATGTGAAGCTTTTCTGAAATAAATAGCTGATTAAATAACGGACTAAAGCAAACTGCATTAGCTTCTTAAGACTGCCGGCTGTAAGTCAGGTTAAGTAATGTTTCGTTTTCCATCAGTCTCCTTCACTTACAGCTTTGCTTGAAGCGAAAATCGTTAGTTCGACCTCGCCTCGTCACCAAGTGGAGGCTTTTCCTTTTGCCTGTTGTCTCCACGCTTGAGTGGTAAATTCAAATGGCTTGCTCGGACTTTTCGCGCCTGTCAATAATTTAGCGGCTTTTCTCGTAGCGGGTGCGACCTGTTGATCACAAGCCAAATTAGGAAAACCAGCTCGTTGGCATTTGTAAACGAACGAAGTCACCAAGTTCTTCACCGACCGCTTAGATTTGAACGCAGCTTTATTTAGGAGATTTTTTTTGTATTGCAAGATGTTGCGTTAACCCCCATCTCTCGAACATTATCTATTGGTGTCAACTTCACAAGGAATGGACGTTTTAATGGATGTTTTAGGCTAATCAGTGTTGCGAGGATCAAGGGATAAAGAAATATGGGAGTTACTTCACAAGGTAAGATATTCTAGTCTGTGGTCTATTATGATTCGAAGTGCTTTACTACGGCAGTAGATAAGTTGATTGTCAACCATTGTATGGTGGGTTTAAGACAAGAAAACCTTTCTTCAGTAGAAAACTTAGTAGAATCTGTGGTTTGACATGGATTAAAACCATAGATCAAATACATGCTTGGCTCTACCAATAGTTTAATATTTGTTTGATCATTTTTCTCTGAAATTAGCCGGGCTGACCTTCTTAAAAAAATTATGTAGGATATTTCAAGCCGTTATTTTCAGAGAAGAAACTCGATGGACTGTCGCATTTAATATCGAGTTTTCACAATCGTAATCGATGGTGAAGACCATCTGAAAACCGAAACAAAGAGGCCTCATTAATTTGTAATAAACGCCTTCCATCGAAAATCACAAAAGACCTGAACAAAAACCAACTGGTATGATCTTCTCCAAGTTAAAACCGTTTGTTAGTTATACCATGCGAATTTCAACACTGAATTGAAATGATTCATCAGTGGATTGACCGATACTTCAAGTTACTAATAATTTTTCCATTAGGAAAATGGCCCTATTACCAAAACAGTTATTTCTAGTAGAAAGCAGAGAGATAATTAAGATAATTGATCATTTTAATCAAGTTAAGCTTCAGAGAAAGCGTATCGAGCAGAAATTTCTCCGTCCCTTACCAATACAAGGAAAATCAGCAGCTTTTTTAAACTAAAGTAATATGGGCACGAATTTGCACCCCTAATGGTACATGAACAGAGCGTTTTTCTTTCTTCAAGGATCCAACTGTTTAGTTTGACAGTTTTTCTTTCTTGAATTTGAGCCGGTTTGTCAATTTGAACAGCCTTTTAGTTTCTCAATTTAAAATGCACGTGTTGAGTCCATTAAGTTCTTTCTTGTAGTCAAATACTGTTTAACAGACTGAGCTGCGAATAATAATGGTTACAAACGGGTCCTTAATTGATAAATCTGATAAATCAAATTATAAACTGTGTTTTTTACTCGCTCGTTTAAGACTCGCAGACTCTAATGTCTTTCTAGTTACTAGTGGACAGTGCTGACTTCTTTATCTGTTTACTAGTTCTAAACTGAAAGTGCCGTCTTCACACGACTGATTTTGTCAGCCAGAAGTTTGCTCAGTGTTTGCTCAGTGGTTGTTCAGCAACATAGCGGCATAAAAAGTTAGTTAAACAGAGAAAGGATTTGAAAAGAAACATGTTTTATATTATCATGTGCGAGGCGATTTAAACGTTCAGGCAAGTTTTTTGTCAGAGTCAATCAGAAAAGAAGAAAAGTTTTATTGCCATCAACTTTTTTTTTGGAAGTATTGAACCCTATTTAAAAATCGACGGGCGGCCATAACTAAATCATAAAAAGTAAATTGAAAAATAATTTAAAAGAGATTTCGTTGTTATGGAGTTAAACTTAGTATTTGTGAAATTGACTTCAGACATTTTTATTTTTGACAAGAGCGAAGAAAAACAAGACATTCTAAATTTTCCCATCTATCTTTGTCAAGTGTTTGACGCCAATTTCACAATCAAAAGGCTGTTGATCGTAATTCACATATTTTCATCATGGTACCCGTTACAAATGACCTCTAGATGTAGAGGTAACTATTTTCCTCCGAACACTGCTTTGCTGGTTTTGTTTTCTTAACGTGCTGGTATTCGGTTGGCAAATTCTTCGTTGAACACAGCTTTCTCTAGCGTAAATCTCCGAGCGAAGAGAGCGGAGAAATCTCTTTGCGAACCGTGTATGTTTGTCGCGAGATGAATTGGTGACGGCTTGAGGCTGTAAAGGTAGATTCAGTTCAATAGATGTCGTGATCTTTTAATTCGCTTGGTTACTTTGAAAAACGCGATTAAACATCGACAAAGGGAGGCGTTTTTATGTTTAATTTTACGTTGAATTTGTTTTCTTTTCGTTACGGTGTTGCCCGATGAAAAATCTCCTCCCCGAAGAAACATGAAACATCAAGAAAACATTCGAAATCAAAACACAAGTTGTAAATTTTCAAATTATCAGAACAAAAGCCGAAATCTTTTCTTCAGTTTCTGAGTGCTTTTCAATAAGACTATGACACGTAAAGGGTGGCTGATCAACCGAAATCGTTTTTTAAAAGTTGAATAATTCTTGTTTATGAACCAAATAAATTCGAATCATTAAAATTACTCGCTTTTTGCAACAAACTTTTTTTAAACTACAAGCGTGACTAATTTTGTGTCATTTTCTTCCCTTGTAGATTATATGGCTTCCTCTCCGGGCAGCTGTCGATTATTGGTTCTTAGAATTCTTGTTATATTTTACTCAATTTACTGCCTTGATGCACAACAACCACAAGGGGCTCAAAAGCCACACATTATAATGATAGTTGCTGATGACTTGGTGAGGAAAGTTCTCTTTTAATTCATTTAAAGTTTCACCTTTAACATTGAAAGGCATGAATGGAACTGCCGTAAAAGAATCTCGTTTTTTCTCTGTAAAAATTAGTTAATTATTTTTCTTTTTACGTTTAAACGACTTCAAACTTTACATTTTCACTTTCTTTTTCTATCTTTAGAAATCTATTCTTTATTCTGTCTCTTCTTCTTTTTTTTTTTTTCATTTTAACTACCCAAGTTAAACTTTTTATTTATTACTCTCTTTTTTATCTTAAGGGTATGAAATGTGTTCAGCTTAACTACAAATCGAAATTTCTTTATTAAAGCATCGTCATATCACCCAAACAAACTTGCATTTTTTATTTCAACAAGCTGATGTGAACATCAGTCAGTAACAGGGATCATTGAGTTTAATACGTCACAATGCTTAAATTCTCCTTGGTTCCTGAAAAAGAGTGCATTAAAATACAAATATCTCATTTTCAACTCGTGATTGCGTTAGCAAGTTACGAGTTAAAGTGGGCTAGGAGATTATTGACGTTTGAGCTCGTTTCCTTTAAACCACTTTATCTGACAAATCTTATCCCATTTAATTTGTGCCTAGTTAGTATTGCGTTCCCTTGGCTAATTTCTAATTAACTGATGTCTTCTCCAGGGTTGGGATGACGTCAGTTTCCACGGTTCGCCCCAGATCCCGACACCCACTCTTGACGGCTTGGCGAACTCGGGGGTAATTCTAAATAATTATTACGTGTCGCCCATGGACTCGCCTTCAAGAGCAGCATTCATGACAGGAAAATACGCCCTGAATTTAGGTAAAAGATTTGTTTTGTTGGGTAACATGACGCACTGTACTAAACGTGTCGCTAGTGGCCTTGATGGTTTGTTTTTAATCACTGTACAGATCCTAACCCCCCTCCCCCCTTCCCCTCAGTATTTTGTCGAGTTGCCCAAACTGCTCGTCACACGGGGATAAAATTTCTTAACAACAACACAACACGACGGCCAAAAACATGGCTACAATTGCAATCAAGATTCCACGCACTAGATGGTAGGAAATACTGACAGGGGCTTACTGCAGAGTGGGTCATAAGTATGATCGATAGTTCTATTCAGTCTCAGGACTCAACTTTGCTCTCAAAGCACGCGCGAGACAAAAACGTGCCAGACACGTGATAGGCGCGTGCAAGCACATTGATATGCTCACCTGGTGCGCGTGCAAGATAGTCAAGGGTTGATTTTTTTTTCGCTACTATTTTTCAGGGCTTCAGCACGACACGATCCACAATAGGCAGCCATTTGGAGTGCCACTTAAAGAAAAGCTTCTGCCGGAACATTTGAGGCAGTTAGGATATTCAACCCATGCTGTAGGAAAGGTGATTTGTTTCAACTGATTCTGATTCTCATTATTATCTTAGTGTGCGATCTTTTCTGTGATTGAAAGTAGAAAAAATAGTTAAAGTAAGAAGGCCTGATTTAAGCCAACGAAACTTTTTAAAACGAACAATACTGCCTTCTATAAAACAAGACATAATTTGTCGTTTCTAGTCTTTCTATCCTATTCCGCAGATTGCTACAAATGCCATAATGACCGAGCAGGCAGCAGTGCTTTTGTAGATTTGCGTCGTATCTTCCTTTGTCTTTTCGTATAGAGTATTTGCGAAGATTTCTGAACAAAGGGTTGATTTTCTCACTCATTAACACATTTTAATGAGTAATTTTGATTCTATTGTCACGATTACTTTCAATAAAATAGTCTAGTTTCTACCAGTGGTTTATTCTAACTAACCTTCTGTATTTTCTGATGTTCTATCCTCGCAGTGGCAGCTGGGTTTCTTCGCTAAAGAGTTTACCCCCACCTACAGGGGATTTGATTCCTTCTACGGCTTCTGGACTTCCGGTCAAGATTACTTCAGTCACGTGACTTATGACGGAAGTTATGGGCTGGATTTGAGAAGAAACTTGGACGTGAGTAGTGAAAATCACTTTTACGTAGTTGGTTACCTAGCTTTTGACATTTAGCGAGAGACAATGTTCACTGTAATATCTGCCAGTTTAGTTATTGTTTTTGACTTTCAAGAAGCCATTCATTCATTGATTAAAATTCGGGCGTCGTGTACATAGTAAACGTTACTAGCCGACGTTCGAAATTTTTGGAATCGAGGGACATTTTTGACCTGGAATTGAAATGTACCAGTATAGCTTTCTAAGTGCGTTTGTTTTTATTCACAGGTCGTGTACAATGAAACAGGTACTTATGGCACAGATTTGTTTACTCGCGAGGCTGACAAAGTTCTGAATGGTCACGATGGTAGCAAGCCGTTGTTTCTTTACTTCGCTCAGCAAGCCGTCCATGTTGGTAATAATAACAATCCACTCCAAGCACCGAAGAAATATCTCGACCGACTCGGCTACATCGGCGACGAGAAAAGAAGAACGTTTGCAGGTATTGAAAAGCACTTAAAGTTCGTCTCTTTTACACGAGCTATACGTGGAAACATTGATGGCACGTTTTCAGATTTTGTCCATGTGTTGACCCATTTTTGTTTCCGCCATGTCCAAGTCATCTTCCATTTCGGTTGGGTTTCTATGATTCTGTCGTTTAAAGAGCGTTGCTCTTGAAAATTTTACTATTCTATAGTCTGGTTACCTTACTGAGTTTCTTAAAATTCAGCAAAAATAAATGACTGAGCCTCTTCTACAAGATTCATTTTTACCTCATGGTATGACGTAAGTCATGCTATGAGGTTTGGGAATGGACCTCAGATTCACTCACTCACTCATTCCATTCTGTTAGATAATTGATTCATGCATCAAACCTGGATTTAATTGAACCAAGGACAAAGGCGCTTACGAAAAGAATTGAAAGAGGCGCTTATTCGAATGACACGCTGCAAGGGGCAACCGAAGGAGGCGAACGAAAGTGCTCTAGTAGTAGCTCTAAGGAGCCTTTGATATGAGCAATGGTTTCCCAGTAGTCTCCCGTGTAATTTCCACTCTATTCTTTGATTGAAGTAATTTTTTGACTTCAGGTATGGTGGCAGCTTTGGACGAGTCAGTGCGTCAGATTGTGACGACATTAAAAAAGAAAGGTCTCTATGATAACTCCATCATCATATTCACCACTGATAACGGAGCAGCCGCTGGTGGATTGGACGCCAGCGCGGGCTCCAACTATCCGCTCCGAGGTTCCAAGAACACTTTGTGGGAGGGTGGAGTGCGTGGGGTTGGATTTGTCCACAGTCCACTTATAAAGAAAAGAGGTAAGTAGGGAATAATACATAGGCGCGCGTAGATATGGAATTTCTCTTCGAGTGTTCAACTCAAGAAATAAAGTTGAAGACGAGAAGAGAAATTCCATATCTACAAGCAACCATGTATGTTTTTTTTATTTTTTAAACATACTAAAAACGTCGTTTTTGACGAATTTCCGAAGATTTCCGACCACCTTCCGAAGATTCTTCAAAGGTTGTCCCAAGGGCACACGAACGTTTCTCAACATTTTCGGAAATTTCCGAAGATTCCCTAAGATAGCCGAAGATTGCTGAAGACGTCGATGAAGATCAGAAGATGTTTCGATCATACAACAACAACTTTAAGTACAGTTAAAGGGTCAAACATGACACCTCGATACATCACAGTGAAAAATTACCGTAATTTTTTCACTTGTAAAATTACGACTTATTTTCTCGGGGCTGGAAATCCTTGTAAAGCACCGCAGTTTATATAATAACAAGATTATTCTTATGTGGACTTCAGATACGAAGCTATTACGTTTTGGGCGTTCACTAAACATTTTTTTTTTTGTCGCACATTTTAGGGCGAGTATCAACTGCCTTGCTACATGCTTCAGACTGGTTACCAACCTTCTACGCTCTGGCTGGAGGCGACGTGAAAGGCCTGGGACCAATTGATGGTTTCAATGTATGGGAGACCATTTCCAGTGATGCCCAGTCTCCGCGTTACGAGATCCTACACGGTCTTGATTCGCTGAAAGAGAAGAAGGCGGCTCTGAGGATTGGGGACTACAAAATGATAGTTCACCAAAACCGCAGTTTCTACAGCGACTGGTACCCAAGGCCAGAAAGCTCGCACGAGTTAGATCAAGTTCCTAAGCCAAGTAATCTTAAGGATGCATCCGTCGATTGCACAGTTAAACACCCGCATCCACTTTTGTACACAAAAGCGCCAATTTGCAATCCCGAGAAAAAGCCCTGCTTGTTTAACATCAAGTGGGACCCGTGTGAGTATCATAACCTGGCTGATTTTATGCCCAACACCTTGAAAGTCATGATTGACCGGCTGAAGTTCTACTACCGCAAATCCACGCCCCCTGTCTACCCCCAAGCGGATGATAGTGCAAATCCAGACAAACACGGGGGAGTCTGGTCCCCATGGCGGGACAAACCCTATATCGATCAAACGATGAACGACTATGTTTATCCAAATTCATACTATGACTCGCCAAAATTGTCGCCCAGCAACCCTTCGAAAAACCAGCTTGATCTGTTTATGAGCGATCAGGGCGGTGTGACTGCCCCGAAAGCGGAAGCACCTTCGCAGATCGAAGATATTATCATTAATTTTCGGGATCAAAATCCCGCTGTTCATAAACACAGTGCTGTGTCTCCTACAAAGGCAACTCCAGCAACAACAGCGAGCACGCCTGTTGTACAAACCGTTGCGATGACAACACAGACAACATCGACAACCGCTTCCACTGCCCCGACAGCCGCTCCACAGACTGTGGCACCTCCGACAGTGATTACCATGTCCACGGCCGCTCCACAGACTGCGGCACCGCCGGCAATGACCACTGCAAGCCCTCCCTCATCCATCCCTCCAGCCATTGAGTCCATCGTGTCGAACAAGAAGTTGGATTATTCAGCGCAAAGACCAAAACCTTTCCGACCGACTGGTTTCCTTAAAGGATTCTTTCAGCACCAGATTATGACCAGCCCCCCTCCTCACTATGCAGCGGGCTCACGGCTCATCCCTGACACTGTGAAAGAAGTTGAACATATTGTCCAGGAGCAGCAGAGTCCGCAGCGCGCCAAGCCTGTCAAATACTTCAACCCGCTGACTGTTCGACCAACTACTGAAATGCCCGCAGTACACGTCTGGCCTAATCAGCAATCTTTCGTCCCCGAGGACGTGCAAAACGTCATTCGTCAGCACGGCTTCACGAAGCACCTCGCCTCGAGTCACGTGGAAGAGGTCTCTATGCTTCCTTCAGAAAAACCACCGGTGAAAATGACTCATAAAACAGCCATGTTCGGTGGGCACTCGGACAAGGTTAGCACGCTGCCGGAGATTCTCGATATAATCGATGAGTCGTCGGTGCCGAGCGCGTATGCGGCCGGTGGCAGCGGTCAGCCTGAGATTCCGAAGATCTTCGACATCATAGACGAAGAGCACAAGCAACAAAACAAAGTGAAGGATTTCTCCTCACACAAACAAGGGCCAATAGCAACTAGCAAATTACTAACCAGCAAAGACGTGGGCTCAGGAATGGGCGTAGGACTGAACGGGTTACCGGAAGGTATTTCAGTGTTCGGTAAATTGGGAGATGAAAAAATTCTTTCCAAATCACATGAGAGCACGGCAAGAGGAAGGGAGCATATTGTCGCGAAAGAAAAGCCTGAAAAGAAAAAGAAAAAGACAGGTGTTCATAAATTCATCGGCAACATCACCATCGACGGCCGCCGCTATCTTGTCGTTGGAACGGAAAGCGAGGAGATCGACTCAGTGTCGACGCAAATGGAAGGCGACAGAATCACTTTGCATCTTCCCAAATCCAAGAAAACTAACACTCACAGCCAAAAATCCAAAAATAAAAGCAAATCCCCCGAGAGTGCAGACAGCAAGTCAGAAATCGGAGAAATCACCGACTACATCGACTTGGATGAAGACGACAGCGAAAAACCGACCAACAAAACGCTTGCAGCTCACAACATCACGGCCGTGGCGACCGCCGGCAACAACACTAAGTGCGAAAAAGTCGTTCAACTTGACACCTCCGATAATGCTGTCGTCGTGTCCTCGGTTGTGATCGTCGTGATCGCTTCGGCTATGGTCGTCGGCGTTGCTGTTGTTGCTATGGTTGCGGTGGTTGCTAGGCACTGTCAAAACGCTAGGAATTGATTTTATTTCTTTTGATTGTTTTTTCGCAGAGAGCTGACTTATTTTTATTGTTAAAGTGTGATTCGAAATGTACAGAGAGTAGAAGTTATAAGATAGAGTAAAAAGTATCTGAAACAATATTAATTCATCAGATTGTCTTGTTTTTAAGGTACTGATTATTCAAGAATACGTAACAGAATCTTAATCCTTCCTTCCGTTATTTAAGTGTTTTAAGCTAAGTTCTGAAAGAGATTTTAAATTAAAATTAGATTAAAAGCGTAACCTAGTTCATTTAGAACAGAATTACTACATTTCCTAAATACTACTTTATAGAATAACCATCAAGCACATGTTTAACGAATACCAAAAGTAATTCTACAAGATTTCACCGACCTCGTGAGTTCTGTTTTTCAACTGGAGAAGTTTCACTGATTAAACGTCACACGTCACGTGATATTCTTCAGCAATGCATCATTGTGGAGAGCTCTCGCTTAAAGTAAACTTGGTTAATAAGATCGGTTGTCACTTTTTCAAGACCGATTATTTTATCTAGTCACACTAAAATTAAGCATCTTTCAAGATTGTGTCGTGAAATGTTATGCTTCTCCACGTCGACAAAGTTCGTTTTTTGTTCACCAGTTTTTTTTATCGGCCATTAGGAAGAACATCGCACCTTGCAAGGCATTATGGATGGTTCACTGTGACTGTTTAATAGGCCCTTTGCAGGATCCGATCACATGGTACGGAATTAATTACGCTGGGACGCAAGTTACGCAGTAGGACTTCCAAAACAAAGGAAAGTTGGGCTGGACTGGTACGAGTTCCTTTGTTTTGGAAGTCCCACTGCGTAACTTGCGTCCCAGCATAATTAATTCCGTACCATGTGACCGGATCGTGCAAAGGGCCTATTACAATGAATTGTTATTTATTATCTGACAGTGATTAGGTCCCTGATTTTGTTCTACTTTTCAATGGAATTCACAATGTGGGAAACACGTTTTTGAAACCTTCATTCACAACTTGCAAAAAAAGAGAAATTCCTCTTACTTGTGTTTATGTAGTCTTTGTAAACTTGTAACTTGTCATGTTGTGTTTATTGGGAGCAATTGTTTGAGAAACTAATTAAACTGTGCATGATGAAGCATATTGTCTGCGTTTAATTCTCAGTTGTTGTTTTTTTTCACCATGGTGAAAATACCGTGTGGTACTACTTTTTTGCGGGTTGCCATTGCCATTCAGAAAGCTTCTAGACAGGAAGGCGCGTAAACAGCCACCCCCCCCCCTCCCGGGGGTGCTCACAAAATAATTGGGTGGGAGTGTGCGGCCCACCGTTCCTAAGACCCTTCCCAAAACCAAAACATTTTGCCTTCCCTATATTTATGACCTGACCAAAAATTCGATACCCTATATAAAATCTTAATGAATCAATTCCATGTTTCAGACCTGCCTTAGGCCCGGTTCATACGTCGCATTTCTTCAACGAATTAAATTCGACAGAAATTCGACGTATGAATCGGCTGCCGCATTTCTGCCGCACGTTCGACTGGTCTTGTCGCATTATCCGACAGAAATGCGACACCGATTTAGACGTCGAATTTCTGCTGTGTCGAATCTAATGCATACATTATGTTACTGTATTGAGCATGCGTAAATGTTTTCTCGTCAAAGAAAAAGAAGAAACTTGGCCATTCTCGACCCAATGCAACCTGAACATATTGCAACACATACTGCTCCGTTGTCAGCCTTCTCCTCGTTCCAT